TCCGAACATGACCGTTTCGACTCAGCATGTGATGAATAATGATAATAACTATATTCTGTTGAAGTTTCAGCTCAAAACTCTTATTTGTTAACGAGAAACACAGATTTTTTGAATTTTCCTGAGAAAAAAATACGCTCCTTAGATGTGTGTTTCTTGGAAAGACAGGTTCAAATCGCTATCACAGTTCTAACGGGTACTTAGTTGTCGCAACATATGTTTATAGCAATTGTTACATTGTATATGCGATATAGTTTCACATTGATTCTCGGAAAATAACACACATTTGCATATCGCATTGGCATGCACTGTATGTAGCAGTATCGGGATATATGTTTGCTTTCTCCAGCTGAGCTCAGGAGTTTGTAGCTCACTAGTTGTATCGATTAGTTTGGAAGTGTATGAAAATGATGATGATGGATTTTATAAACACGTGGTGAGTTTTATCACTAGTTTTACGAATCACACAGAAATCAAAAGAATTACGTCGTACTTTTCATGTTGTCAACGTATGAAAATTTTGATTTAATGTTGTTTAGTTTCTATTAATGAAGTTCGCGATGTAGCCCCTAACAAGAGGATGTACTGTTTTGAGTTTGCAGTGCCCAAGGAAATACTTATGTCGAGTAAACCAGAGGAAGAACCTGCTAGTAAAAAACAGAAGTGAAAACGTACTGTGTTTCTTGTATGAAGTGTTGTTGTTATGTTGTGAAGTAGTGGATAGTAGACAGTCTCTACCTTTATTTGAGAGGACGTTGATCAGGGTGTGGTATGGTCAAATGAGGACTCAAAAGATTCATCCGGTCGGTTCTGCTGTCCTTTACGTTGAATCTATTACACTTATTACATGCATTTATGAGATCGCACGATATGTGAATACTTTTGAAGATGTACTATAATAGAGTTTCACCCGTTTTACGCGAAATTCGCTGCTCACATGCGTTTTTCGCGAAGTGAAATGTGTTTCTCACTAGTGTTTTTCACATCACGGGTGAAACTCCAATAAAGTTGAAATAGATAATAGTCATAACCATATATATAATACTCATATTTAACATGAAATATTGAATAGTGGTCCTAATTATATATTTATAATCGAGACCCGCCAGATATGAGTGGCTATGGTTCGAATATCTATAAAAAGCTTTGGTCATTATTATTACTCTTATATGGTTACTGAGCATAGCAGACGGAGCGAAGTTGTAGCTGTATGCATTGTTGATCTTGTTGTGAATGTATAAGTCGTAGAACTCAATGCAGAGTAGGTTGAGGTGCAGCAGTATACAAAACGTCAATGTGGGCCTTATGTTCGCTATGTGCTTACGCACACATCTATACTAAATTGAGCAAGGTATGCGACTAGATTTGGTAGAACAGTGTGGTCTTGCAGTTCTCTAGTATTTGATATTAGCTATAGTATGCATGCCCAAGGTGCAGCTCATCATATCTTTGGTAGTTTTCCCCATTGTCATCCTCGACTGTGTTACTTAGTAAGCAGTCGTTGTTGAGTTTAGTGTGAGATTGACCAGGAGCAACAGAGTCGGGTTCGGCGATGGTGTAGCAACGGTGCCACCGTATCAAGTTCAACTAGAGAATGTTCATCCGAGATGTTTTAGAGTTTTGTATAAATTGATTCGTACGGAAATTGCATATTGCAGTATTTTGTATCGGTGTAATACAATCCGGCAATCGCAACTTTTTGCTAATATTGCGGATTTGCCAAATGCTATAAATTATAGCATTTGTCCAAATGTTACAATTTGGACAGATCTCTAGGACAGCATTAATTCCTGACAGTCTCACTTTTTTGCCCTTTTGTATGTGCTGCTTTCTCAGTTACAAAGTAGCAACCACATTTACAACCTAGCAATTTCTGGTATAGATTTTAGCAACCCAATGTTGAAAGTAGCAAATCCAAAAGTGTTTTCCAGCAAGTCGCTCTTTTTTGCTCTTTTTTTGCTGCATTGTATATTTCCCCGGAATGTTTTACACGCTGGCACTTTTGCCCAAGTGTGCTTCGCCCGCACGTTTTCGTTATTTTGGCAAGTTTTGCTCATTTGCTGTTTAATCTGTTTTGCGTTGTAATTATGTAGTCTGGCACCTTTTAAGGTTTGCTATTGTGTGATGTTCCTGCATGAAATATACAAATTGGCAGTTGCCGGTATGTGACAACGCTGCGCTACTTTTATGTTTCGGCTATTTGCTCTCTTGTAACTTACGTCCTGCGAGAATATATACTAGCGTTTTGCTCATTCGCTCAAACTCCGTCCCTGTTAGCGTTATTAGCAAACTTGCCCTTTTGCATTATTCGTACAAGTAATATACAATCGAGCAAACATAGTTATGGGATAGCATTTCTCGTTCGATTACGGTATTACGTCTTATATCCATTTTGGTGCATGTTCATGCCCTGTGCACTTACTAAGTATCTATCAGAGGTGTCACACCTCGTGTCTCACTTCAAGTGAGTCACTTAGTATCGGGTCAAAGCGTGATAGCACTCTAGTCACTAGAGTCTCACTAGAGTCTAGTGAGATATATCATTCACTCCGAAGACAGCGCGAGTTATGATCAATGCTGAATACCAAACACATGATTGCTCTTGCACGTCGCGATTCAATCAGATGAGATCACAGTTAAATTGAGTCCCATCTTCGAGTATCCTCTCTCTTTTTGCATCGTAACAGTTGTGTCTCATGGTTTGGTACGATTGTACGTATTGACGACTCAACAATACCCAGAAGTTAAACCCCCAAGTAGGCATTACGTAAGTATTACGGGCAACTTTGACATTCTGCACGAGGATCAGGATGCGTGTATGAAAGCCACGATATCTCGCATGGGCACCACTGGGGTGCCTGCAATACAGCACTGCACTGCAGATGAGTGATCCATGTTGATCCAAATAAGTGATCTCGGATCACTCAGTACGAGTGATTCCGCCAAATACGAACTACCATCTAAACACAAATCCTCTCCCTCGTCCTTCTGTGACCATGTGCGAGCTGCAATGATGTGGAAAATATGAAAATCCAACGAGCCCTTAACGAATGTAAGTCTTTACTAACGACCTACTACCACTTACAATAGTCCATCCATCATTCTTCCAGTGCTGCAACTATACTTATCTATATCGACAGAACCAAAGAACTTTGCAAAATAGTCACAAAATGCAAAAAATTTGCTCCATTGCGGGGTTGCCCATTCGTAAAGCGGCAAATTGCTCCTCTGAAAAGTAGCAATTTGCTCAATAGTAGAAGGAGCAATTTATCGGTTTGCCCCTTTTTTGAGCAAAATTGCTCAATTTTGTTACATAGTAGCACTTCACATAGCGGCAACTTTTATATATTCTAGCAATTTTCTGAAATATAAACAAGCAAACGATATTCATTCGAGCAGTTTCTGTTATACAAAACGGCAAATTTGCGTATTTGTAAAGTTAATTTTGCTACTTTGCTCCTTTGTATATCAGCCATAGCGTTTTTACACACTGGCACAACAGCAAAAGCCGCAGGGAATATACATTCTAGCTAATTGGCACTTTTTTGCTATTTGCTCCTTTGCTATTTTGTAAATGAGCCATTTTGTATATAATAGGTTTGCTTTCTAACTTGCCTGTACGAAGGAGGTCTATTGCGGTTGCACGCATGCACATCACTAGAGTTTTCCGGCGCCACCGATTTCTACAGGAAGGTATATTCCCTCGACATGAAAGGGTAGTCAGACCGGCCGTTCAAAACATCCCTTGCGCAACTCTGAAATCGTTCTTGAAAATCGATTCCGACTTCGCGTTCAACAGACACGATTTTGAAATATCAGCAACGGTTCTTTGAACATGACTTTTCAAAATCTATGTTTATCGAATCTATTCCGGAGCCCACAATCGATTTAATAAACAGCCCCAAGAGATTCATTCACCTCTTTCCACGCTGAAACGCCGCTTTTTTGAGTCTCGCTCGCCGTAGGAAGAATCATCTGACGAAACGGTTGGGTTGTCATTTGGAGGGCGTGGTAGATGATGTCCCAACTCTATGAGATGTTTGGTATCGGTGTTTTGATGTCGTATTCGCGTATTTCTACTGCGAATCATTAACTTTGCACTGAGATCGGCTGTAATCATGTGTAACCACTCGCTGTACTGGTCTGGTGGTGGTGATCTACCTTTCGTTAGGTCGTCCAAGGTTGAGGTCTTTCACGTCTTGGCGTTGCCCTAAGTCCCTACTGCTGTCACTGAGCCTTACAACTACGGTACTCTGTGTCGTCCACTCGTTCCCATTCGGCCCATCGACGTTAACTGTGAGAAAGACGACAGAGCTATCTACGACTGGGGAGAGTGCTGACTGGCACCAAAATAAACTTTATCATCACTAGTGATCTCGGCTTAGATGAGGCCCTGCTCGGTGTGGCGTACTATCGTATTTGTTGTATGCTGAGGCTTAATCTGTTGGTTCGGGTTACAAGCCTTTGCCGATGAGGGTTAGATGCGATATGGTCGACGGCAAGTACATGGCTTGTTGTCTAGTGTAGTCGCCCTGAAATATGTCAACATTGTTGTTGCTACTATTGACTCGACTGATTCTCGATAGGTTTGCTACTCATTGTCAGCCTGCTGTGTCGGTTCTTGAGCGGCATTTGCTCCTCTATGTATGCAGCTCGTACGGTATGTAAGTCGTCACTCTGCCATTGTGAAGGCCTTTTCTCGAATCTTTCTAGATTCAATCTGATATGCTACGAGCGCGACCTTGTGCATCGTTGAGATAATAGCGATGATTTGGCTGCTTCGGAGGCGGGTTAGAAGGAAGTTATCATCGAGAATGCCTTCGTCGAGAAGAAGGTTAGTGCAGCGCTGAATTGTGGATATCTCGCGTTATTTGTTTACTAGTTACCAGGGTATAAGTTTCATACGATAATCGGCGTCGTTGCTTTTTTTCTCAATTTGTGGTGGAGGAAGTGAGTCATTGTTGTTTTGTCAGCAGCAATTTTTTCTCGCCTCGGTTCTCAACATGCGTGAGCTCGTCCACGTTCAGGCTGGTCAGTGTGGCAATCAGATCGGCGCCAAGTTCTGGGAAGTCATCTCCGACGAGCACGGCATCGACCCTACGGGTACCTACCACGGTGATTCTGACCTCCAACTGGAGCGCATCAACGTCTATTACAACGAGGCTACTGGCGGGCGATATGTGCCGCGCGCTGTCCTTATGGATCTTGAGCCAGGAACTATGGATTCTGTCCGAGCCGGCCCCTTTGGGCAGTTATTTCGCCCTGATAATTTCGTATTTGGTCAGAGTGGCGCTGGCAATAACTGGGCTAAAGGCCACTACACTGAGGGCGCTGAGTTGATCGATTCTGTTCTCGATGTTGTGAGGAAGGAAGCGGAGGGTTGTGATTGCTTGCAAGGCTTCCAGATATGTCACTCGATGGGAGGTGGCACTGGTTCCGGCATGGGCACTTTGCTGATCTCCAAGATTCGTGAGGAATATCCTGACCGCATTATGGAGACATTTTCAGTGTTCCCCTCCCCTAAAGTGTCAGACACCGTTGTCGAGCCTTACAACGC